GCCACCGAAATCCCAGATGAAACGCGACGTGAGCCCACCTCGGTATAAAAATCAACACTGTCAACATTTCGAATTTATTTGGTGAGGCAAAGATGGAGTTCAAGTCGGTCTATCTCAAACCTAATTTGGGTAAAGTAAAGTTACAACTGCTAAAATTTCTTAACATGAATGAACACAAACGGGGAGAAAGCAGCCCTAAATGTGGCATTTCTCCAAATCATTTCTCGACACGTTGCCGACATTTTACTGCCGGCTGTCGAAATGACCCCTCCGACTAAACGCCCCCATGCGGGCTATCACCAATCTTGCATGAGTCACGCCTGGGTCATTAAGCCCACGTCTGTCCAGAGGTCGGCGGTTGGGTGCGTGGATGGATGAATAAGTGGGTGAGTGGGGTTAACGAGGTTTCACCAAAAGCCCAATCTCAGAATCCCCGGTCATATTCGTCTTCGTTAACATGAGAAACCCAAGCACTACACTCTGCGCTAGAATGCCAGATGATGCGATTGGAGTATAACGTGGCCGGATGCCAAAAATTATAAAACCTCTTTTAGTCTAGAATTTTCTTTCGTTAACTTGAGCGTCACCGACAAAATTTGCGTCAACGCCTCACATTGGTTTAAATAGTGACATGGATCAATAACTGCCGTTGGTTCAGATTCACTAAATGTGTGTTATTTGACTGCGCACAAATAAACAGTTGAGAGTGTAAGCATACATTTTAAAACTCTTTGCTACTTGAGCAGAGAAGGTATGTAAGACAAAGGAGAGTTGAAGCCATTCAGAAAGACAAAAACGTGTATTTGTGAGATTGGTAATTGTCAGATCAAAGTTGAAGTAAGACATCTTCAAAATTTTAGTAACATTTGCTAAATCAAGGATGAGACAACATTTTGTCAGATAGTATATCTTGTTCACAAATCACTGCTCTCAACTTGAGTCCCCAGATGGATTTCAGGCAAATCGTAATCTTTGAGAAATCCAAAAATGTACTGCCAGAGTTAGCTAACGAGATGCGGCGTTTGAAATAACCCAGCTTGTGCCACCTAAATCCACTAGTACCAGTGCCGGTGGGCCAGTTCAAGTAGCCAACCAGCAACAAAAAATGCCGTTATGTGAGTTTCCATGAATTGAGAGATTAGCGCAAGCTACCTGACGCTTAAAGTTTGTCTGCATAAAATTCTCCCGTAGTTAGCATCAACGCGCTGATTCACGCTTTGGCTGCGTTCACGCCAAAATCGAGCTGATAATTACTCCTGGTTTCGTCCTTCATCTCTGCTTATCAAGGAACACAAAAATTGGGAAAAAACCTGTTAGTGAATGTTATTTGAATTTTAGAAATTAACTGCAAAATTCTAATAGACGGGCACTGAAAGGAATTGGAGGGGTGTATTCAATAGCAAACGCATACTGTTTTAAAAAAAGTAAGCGAAATTTTTTACCTCTTGCCCTTCTGAGAATGAAGACAAATGATCTGCAAGCTGTGAGTTTTTATTGACGGTATTTTTGGAAATCTCGCAATAGTGTATATAATTTACTATTGATAAGTGTGGTTTTTTCATCATATCTGCCCATTAAGGAGCACAATTCGCAATAATCTGTTGTTATAGTACTCATAAAAAAAATATGTAAATTAAGGCATGCATAACACTACGGCCGCTCCCGAAACGCAACATCCCCGAGAATCCATGAGATTTCTGAACAAAACTCAGTCTCATTCACCTATCGTTTTTTTCTGCAATCTTACTCACCCATATGTTCACAACGCGGAAGACGGTTTGTTAAATGACTTAGTCTTCATGTTACTGAGATTTCAGAGCAATCGGTATATGGGAGGATGCTTCGTGGTTCAGTTCTCACGGAAAAATTGGACAGTTTTCAATCAACTCTTCTGAGTCAGATATTTATAGCACCAAAACAGCGTCAAACAAATTGACTCAGCCAATGCCAATAGTAATTTTCCCCTTTTATAAATCAGTTTTAACACCCTGATGTTTCGTTGGAGGTGCACATTCACCCGATCAGTGGAAGGCATTGGTAGAACTAATTGACAATTCCAACTGCTTCAACAACGTGACAACTAGCTTAGACTGTACTAACCCAAATGTTATCTCAATAAATATCTAGTTAACGAATCTTGTCAAATGCACGAATGATAGGTGTACGACTACAGATATAACGGATAATAATCACTTCGATTCACTCTACGATCGACCATGGGATATTACGATGACATACAAAGCACATTAAGGCCTTCGATTCGCAACCAATTCAAGTTTTAAAAAATAACGACGCAACTATGTGTACCAATAAGTCTCCAGTAATAATGATTTCCATACTCATCTGGCGCATGATGTCCAATCTTTCTGTGACTGAATTGTGAATACAGAGCTAATGAAAAATAGAACTCCTTTTACGGCAACAAATAAAGCAACAAAATATTTATTTTCTAGAATTTATTTGTTTAATATCACTCCTGGACTTAACTTTCCTGGTAATTTCATTTCAATTTTGCGAAAAAGGAAAGCAAGGAGGCCAAACATTTCATTTAGTAGACAGCTCTGTAGAAATCATTATCAGTAAAGTTGCAAAATCTTTTGTGCATAACAACTGTCAAAACCGTCACAAAGTTTGTGATTTGTGGCAATACAATATCTACGGATAATTAGGTGCCAAATTTATTTTGACCAGTATTTGTTTAAGTAGGCTGACTTGCAAACTGTTATTTCAAAAAGTGGTGGTGAACTGTTTATTTCACATTGCTTGCGTTGACTGACTGAATATCATGGAGCTAGTTTTTGATGTGTGCCTAACAATTAGTTTGTCTCCATTTACATTTTTTTTTCTTGTACTGCGATTTCTTCTGGAATGGCGCTTCGTCAATTGATGCCCTTTGCTTTTTTATCGTCTTACCTCCGTAATCAATTACTATTTCTAGTATTACACATATAATGCGACATTCGTGTCAGTAAATTTGCTCACTTCCAAACTATGATGTACGGTTTGTTTTATTCTCTCATGCCCTCCAGCATCGTGAGAACAGCCCAGACAAAAATGTTAAAGAACACTAAAATCAATCTCGAAGAATGCGAGGAAGATATTGTTGTATCAGAGGATGTTCAAGTAATCCCTTCATTCAAGAAGATGCATCTGAAAGCGGAACTTCTTCGAGGGATCTATGAGTATGGTGAGTTGTTGCCAACATAGTCGGGTTGATTTATTACTCAACAGAAGTTCATTTTTGGTGGAATGTAGCCTGAGCAACTCCGACAGACTCGGAGAGCCGTGTTGAGCAATAAGGTTCATTCAGTGTACGTTTGACACGGGAGCCATAAATTCGCCTCACAAATCACGTAGACCCGTGCGCAAGCAAACAACATGATTAATAGGGGATGTTGTTTCACTGGGCTTAAAATAGCCTACTTTGGTTTATCCACTAGTAAGTGCACTAGTTTGTGTGCAGATCCAACCCATGCGTAGAGTGCGTTTGATTTGGCCTGGATCAGTGGAGTCTACCTGGCAATAGGTTAAAGGCGTGCCAAGTGGGTCTACGTTAGTGCTTGCCCAATATTGAACGAATCGGCCAGAACTTCTTACCTTCAATTATTGTGCTCTGTTTGGAGGGGAGTTTGTCATTTGTTGTATTCGGTCTCCGTGATAAGATTTGATGTCGTTGTGGATGGGGTATTTGCCACCGTGTAGTCGTACTTCTATGCACTAGTGGTGATTTGCATTGTGACGTATTAATAACCCTCTTGTCTGCACATGGGCGAGCAGGTTTCGAGAAACCGTCTTTGGTTCAACAGCGAGCCATCGGTGAGATAATGAAGGGACGAGATGTTGTGGTTCAGGCCCAAAGTGGAACAGGGAAAACGGCCACCTTTTGCATTGGCACCCTGCAACGCATGGAGTGTTCCAGGAAAGAAACGCAGGCTCTGTTCATAGCGCCGACACGAGAACTGGCATCGCAGATCCACCAGGTACGTCTCGGAGGGATGTGTTGCTTGTCCTTTTGTGTGGCGTTGACCGCAGTGCGTAGAACCCACAAGGGCTTTGTTGTAGGAGTGCAATCAGTGTAGGTGGATGCGACTGTGGGCAAAGAACAATAGACGTTGTGTGTAGGTCCAAGTTTATTTGAAGTGGGCCAAAATGCGTGACACCATATTTAGTCAGTGTACTACAGAATCAACCTAGAAGGCATAAAAGTGCGACTAGAATAGCGTGCGTGAATAGTCCTTGGGATTATTGGAGCTTTCCGTGAGGTCATGGAATCTTGTTATTTGGATTATATCTGCACGATTGTTTGGTACGGTGTTAGGTAGACCAATTTTTGGGGTTTTTTTGATGGGTTTCTGCATATGCTTTCTTAAGCATATGCAGATACTTCGACGTCTCCCCGCCTCAGTAAGCCTACAGTGACTAGATCTGACCTTGTTGATATTGTGAAAATCGCATCGTCACGCTCCTGTTTTACGCAGGTTAAGTGGGAATAAATGTTTTGCACTTCGAAAACCAAACGTGAAATGTTGTGGTAGATTTTCAGTGATAAACTTTATTTTTCTCGAAAATATGAATGTTTTTCACAATCTTAAATGCCGGAAGTGGTTGCGATGATTATGGCTTTCCATCAAATTGTTTTATGAATTTCCGCACACTACACGAGAAGCGAATCTGACTTCTAGGCCGGTTATGGTTTGATCAAGTTGCTTGGTGATTGAAAAGTGTAAAATTTGCATTTTGACAGTTCGCTAACAATCAGATAATAGACGTGACTGTCGAAATAGTGAACTGATTTATGATGTCGATAGTTGTGGACGTTTACAGCAACGAATAAGTCGCTGCCGATGCTTTCAAAGGTATTTACATTGTAGGTCTTGTAGCATCTACCTTGTCCGTTTAGATACAGTGCACTCTTTTGTCACGAATGTCTCAAAGTGTGTCCACAAATTGATGCATTCAAGTAGTTCGTTCGAATCATGCCACCGTCCGCTTCATCCAGGTGGGCGACCTGTAGCCTGCGATGGATTGTGTCAAAAGATTTGTTAATTACGACGTGATTACAAACTTGCGTGTTCTTTTGGTAGGTTACAACTGCACTGGCCGATTACCTGTCCGTCAAGTGTACCCTGTGTTGCGGTGGGAAGAATAACGTCGGTGAGATGACGAAAAGTGTTGAACGAGGGTCGCAGATTGTTGTTGGCACTCCAGGTCGGCTATTGGGTAAGTGCGACTCCGTTTATTTCATTTCCTCAGTCTGAGCAGACGACGAGACATGTCGTGTAGCCTCTGAAGTCATGTTGTTTCGTGGTTGGTGTGTGTTGGACAGGTATCTGTCGCGCGACGTCGAGTGGAATGTGCGGTAGAATTACCTTTATGGGTCGTTCATCGCTCAGTTGGAACACCGAGGGCTTGATGTGTTGTGTGTCCACAACGCGTCGCATTCAAATGGACTAAAGTGACGTGGATCACATTGGTGGACTCTGTTGTGTGCAAATTGCAGCGTTTGTTGATGAGTGAATGGGTTTTGAGTGGACGGAGGACACGAAGTCTTGGAAACGTGGAAACAGTCAACTGTGATAGTCTGTGTGCATTGAACAAGCGGTGCATGTTTC